GTGCTTCAGTTTCCTCATCTGTAAAATGATCTGGGAGAAGGACATGGCAAACCACTGTGGTATCTTTGCCAAGAAAACCCCAAATGGGGTCATAAAGAGTCATACACAACTGAAACAACTGAATAACGACAATTTCGGTCATTCAGTTCAAAGGTAAACTAGGCAGCCACCCTTACAGTGTGATTTGAAGGTACCACAGGGCCCTTCCCTGTCCCAAAATAGCTCTGCCAGCCACCTATCTAACCGACCTGAATTTATCACCACTACAGGTAGTCATTTGAATTAAATAACAAAAGCAGAGGTACGGCCTATAAATTACTGTATACATGTCACCTAGGGGAGAAGGGAAAGTCCTAGGTGCCTCCCTGAGCCCGCTCTCATTGGGTGTCAACAGGAGCCTCCTTTGATGAAGATAGATTTGTCATCCAGCTGTCTAAATGCCACCTTGGAAGGAATGAAAAGTCTGATTCCCGAGAAGATGTGAAGGAGGTCATATTAGGTAGATGGTAGCAATTAGTCAAAAGTGGCTTCTGGGAAACTCTGGCCACTTCAACTAAGCCAAAGAAATGTCTCTTTAGGAGGCTGGAGCCATTTATTGAAATGGTAGTCATGGTGCATGTTGGGATTAAGTGCATAAATCTGATTATTCTGGAGATTGCCTCCTTTGCAGTTGAATTATGGTACCAACAATTTCTGTTGCTTCCATAGAGTTCTTGGCCACAAAGCCTGACAAACCAGGTAGTGTAAAGTATTACTATGCCCATTTTACAGATGAGGAAACTGCAGATCAAAGAATGACTCTTTTTCCAAGTCATACAGTGAACAAATGATGGAGCTCTTATTTGAACGCTAGGTTTTCTGACTCCAAGTGCAGACTGTTTCATAGAGTCAATAAGTATTTATCAAACAGTTAATTATCATCATAAAACTTTAACCAAAACTATACAGGATTTATAGCACACATACATCTTCATCCATGTCAGAGCACTGAAAGTCAGAAATGGGAATATTTAGTAATAAGTTGGGTATAAACATTGGCCAGTGAAGAACCACCTAGAATTTTCTGTTCTTTCTTTGTCTTTGGGGCAGAGGTGAAGAAATAAAAGAAAGAGGAGGATGGGAGAGGTTTCTGTCTTTGCTTTTTAAATTACAGAAGATATAAATTTCATTCTTGTGAACAATCAGGCTAAGACGTGGAGGCAAAAGTCCTCAACTTAGCCACAGAATACAGATGTCTACATCTAGAATGGACAGGAACAGTATTAGCTTTCCAGACTGGCTACTCCATTCCTGACCTGATTACCGTAGAAGGAATCACTTGTTTGGAACACAAGCAAAGTTATCTGAACAGGTGAGGGAACTCACTTGCTCCTTAGCTCTGTGCTAAAAGTGTTAGCAAGGATGGGCCACAGGTGGTCAGAAATGATAGAAGCTCTGAGTTTCAGTTTTCAGGGGGGCTTAGCAAGGAAATTGGTTGGCCCACGAGCTAATGAAGGCTTTTAGTTTCTTCCAGTCTGGTATACATGGACATAATCATATGAAGACCAACAAATTAAGCTTTAGGTGTAGATATTTCAATTTCAGGCCTCACTTAAATTCTTAAGGCCTTAAAAATGATTGTAGGTTAAACAGTAGGTGTTTTTTTTCTTGAACTCAGGCTTACTCAGTTTTTGTACTTGCCAGTCAAGGTTATTTACCAATTTATTATATTGAGGCTCCCCTAAATGCTCGTTTTGATTTTCTCAAGCACAAATAACTGTGTGAGAAATTATTTCCCTGATGAGTTTCTGAAATTCGAAGACTCTGCCTAGCAAATACCTTTGAAAATGTTGAAATAGATTTGGTTTAAACCTAAGTTGATAGTTCCAATAATACCCCACCAGCTTTCTCTCTTTCTTTCTTTCATGTGTGAGTACCTGGACTTTCATTTGACTTAGTAATTTTTTATCTTCCAGCTGCTGATTTCAGTTAAAATAAAATATCCCAATACTTTCGTGTAAGCTAATTTCCCTGTATGACTACACACATAAACTTCTTTGACATTTCAGATTTATGAAATTTATTTCTTTGAAAAAATGTATTGGTCCTTGAAAAGATAACTATTCAATTCAATAAACATTTATTAGATGCCTACTGTGCACAAGATGTTATATTTATTGTCATACTGAAAGAAAGTAATGCATTGGTTTCTTCATAATTGGAAAGGCAATGTGATGTTAGGGGGCTGACCTTACCATCAGGAAGATGGGTTCAAGTCCAGCCTCTGATACATATGTGATTGTGGGCCACTAACAATCTTTATGAGCTTCAGTTTCCTTATCTATAAAAGGAAGGAGTTGGAATGGATAAGGGCCCTTCCGACTCTAAATCTTTAATTCTGGTCACACTGATCAAAGTTGCCCGCGCTGATGAAATCACAAGTCTAGATTTTTCTTATCACTGCCTTGAAAAAAAAAGATTTATGAATTGTTATAGTTCACTATAGGGCACATGTATTTAACTCCTTCTGACTATATTTTTGTGATGATAGTATCATAGCCTTAGAGCTAGAGAGAACTTGGAGAATATCTAGTCCAACACCCTCATTCTACAGATGAGGAAACTGAGGCTAAGATTAAAATGACTTGTCAAAGGTCACACAAGCAGGAAAGCAGCCAAATTCAGGTCCTCTACCTCTAAAGACGATGCTTTTTCCACTTGTATCATCCTAATCTTATATTTTCTTTAAAATGGGTTCCATATCTTAAAATAAATTGTTATTATGAAAGTATTTTGTGTTAGTTTTTCCCACTTCCATTGCCCTACTCCACAGAATAGGAATCCATTCAGATGCATCAGGATGACATGAGAGGGACCCTGTGTTCTTGAAAGGTAGGCCAGGAGCGACAAACTTTGCAGATCCTCCCAAGCCAGAAAGGCTTCAGTGATGGGTCTGTCAATAGACTGCCCTCTGAAGACCAGCCTACAAAATTCCAACCTGGAAGGTCACCCACCAGGTGATCAATGATTTGGATACAATCACTTATAAAACCCATCCACTAAGGTTTAAGGGCCAAGTGCATGGTTTGTGGTCTGCACTGGTAGAAGGAATGCCCACAGATCTTTAGAAAAATGAAAAACGCATTTTTTGAAAGCTAGATACCACAGTGGATAGAGCACTGGGCCTGCATTCAGGAAGACCTAGCTCAAAAGGCATGACATAGTCAGACCCGCATTTTGTGAGTATCAATTTCACTGTGTGGAGGATAGATTGTGGAGGGGAGAGACTGCATGTAGGAAAACTAATTAGAAGGGTTTCTCATCTTGTGGGATTCTCGTCCATGCAGAGGCAGTGAGGTGGTTTTGTGGACAGAGTGCCGAACCTGGAGCCAGCAAGTTCTTGTTTAGTTGTTTTTCAGTTGCATCTGACTCTTTATGACCCCATTTGGGGTTTTCTTGGCAAAAAACGCTGAAGTGATTTGCCATTTCCTTCCCTGGCTCATTTTACAGATGAGGAAATTGAGGCAGACAAGGTTATGTGACTTGCTCAAGGTCACACAACTAGTAAGTGTGTGAGACTGGATTTGCATTAGCAGATGAGTTTTCTTGACTTCAGGCCCAATGCTCTATCCACTGCACTGCCTACCTGCCCTGAAGTCAGGCAGACCTAAGGAGATCATGTTGGTATCTGTTCCACAGGGTTGTTATGAGGACCCAATGAGACAATATTTGTAAAGCACTTAGCACAGCATCTGGCACGTTTGTGTTTGTGGTGATGGTCAGTCCTGTCTGACTCTTTGTGACCCCACTGGGGTTTTTCTTGGCAAAGATACTGTAGTGTTTTGACATTTTCTTCTCCTGTTAATTTTACAGATTCAGAAACAGGGTTAAGTGACTTGCCCAGGGTCACACAGTTGGTAAGTATCTGAGTCCAGATTTGAACACAGGAAGATGAATATTCCTGAATCCAGGCCTGGCGCTCTATCCACTGAGCCACGTAGCTGCCTTGTCTGGCACATAGGAGGCACTTAATAAATGTCCCTCCCTTTCCTTGTCCCTCCCCTTACGGGGCCAATTAAATTTTAATCATCTCAAAATAAATTATTTTAAGCTTATAAAACTGAAAGAAAACAAATATGCATGTTGTATTTTTGCACATATTTTTCAAGGGGGTTAAAAACCACACTGGATGTTGAAGTTGCACAAGAGAAACCTGTCTGCAGCAGCTCTCCACGGCTCTCAAAAGGCATAAGGCATTGCTAAACATGGCTGCCTTTTTAAACTATCTCAGTGGAGAGGACTGGAAATCATAGTTTAAACATAGCCCTGGAAAAGAATGAAAAGTAAAGTCAACAGGGATTTAGGAAGATGTTGCTAAACACGTAGGATCCCTGTAACTATGATTCTCTTCACCACAGAAAATAACCAATCCACGCCCTCAGATTTGATAGACCAACAGACAGCAGTGAACGAGGGTTACACTTATACGGTGCTTTTCATGCTGGAATCAAAAAAGGACTTCATGGGCTCTGTGTCAATGAGCCGTGGTGCAACCACAGACGTGAAGCCACCTCCGAGGGAAAACAAGCCCAGATTTCAGCCAGAGCATTCCACAGTGAGCATGTGTGGTTTCCACAAGGCAGCTTGAAGCATTCTCTATTTGATCTCTCCCATTTCCTGACAGTCCAGGGCACTTCCTCTCTGAATCATAAGTTTGGCACTTGATCATATTCAATTGAGTCTTTTATTAAATACTGTCTTACACTTTTCTCTGTTTCATAAGTTGAATTTTTGTCTTAGCAATAAAGTAAGCTATAAGTCAAAACTTGTTTCGTGTGTATATATATGTATATATATATATGTATATATATATATGTATATATATATATATATATATATATATGGTGTGCTCTTCATGCCACCTAACACACAGTAGATATATAGTAGACACTACAATTTAGCAAGCACTTATTAAATACCTACAGTATGCAACTCACTCTGCTTAGCACTGGGGTTACAAAGAGGAAAACAAAATCATTCTTGCAGTTAAGGAGTTCAGGTTCTACTTAACAAGTGTATTGCTCTTTGAGTTCTGGTTTTGCATGTCTTGCACTTCTGCCTTCGCACAGACTGGCATCTGTGTCTACAGCACACTACTTTCTAATCTTTACTTCTTAGAGTCTTTAAAAATGTCTTCAAGGCTCAGATTACATACCACCTTCAAGGGGAAGATTTTCCTGATTCCCCCTAGTTGTTAGTCATTTCTTCTTCCTCAAATTGCCTTGTAATTTACTTATATAACAGGGAACTGCCAAGGAGCACAGTCCTCATGAGCATATGCAGTATCCTTTGCTGATTCAATTCCCACATGAACTTTGGAGCAGGCGTGGACATTCTATCACTGAGTCCAATCCACTAACTGTAGAGTAAAGAGAGTTTTGACTGGTGGCTGAACCAGAATTGGGGCACATTCAAAAGGCAATAAAGTCTTTTTACTTTTCCTGCCTGGCTGTACTTGAGCATGTAGGCAAGGAGTATTGTAAGTTCTTGGTAGGAAGGAAGGCACGTGGCCCAGGAGGGCATTGCTCTGCTGTAACTTCTGTCTCTTGTATCTATTCTTTCCTGATTTTAAGTGAAACACTGCAGATTGCTAGGAACTTATGAACTTCAAAGAGTCAGAATAGTAAACCACCACAGGCCTGGAAGCTGGGATTTGCAGTCAGTGGATGTAAGACCAGCACAACTCGGAAGTGGATTGACCCACCTGAAAGTAGAATGCTCTATCCATCAGCTGTGCTGAATTCAGAGGTGAACTTGATGAAGAAAATGCTTTGTTGAAACTGTTTTAAGTCTGAGCCCATTCTTCCTATAGGAACTGAAGTGATAGATGGGACAGTATTACCCCTCAGTTGAAGAAAATGCTTTGTAAATGCTATTCTTGCTATATCTTTACAGTAAATATCCCTTTGTAAAAGCCAATTTTTTTAATTGTTTAAATGAAACTGGAACGCCAATAATTGGTGGTTAACATCGAGGAGAACATGCTAGAATAGGGGTTGAAGATGATAACATTATAGAAGAATCACCCCAGCCCCTTAGAGGTATCCCTAGAAACTCGAAGGAGGAAACATAGCTAGCTTTTCTCTGGGGAACCTGATTCATTAGTGTGAGTGTGAATTGGGATAAGGATCTCCACGGTTTTTGATGACATACTTATAGGATTTCATTCAGTAAAATAAAAGCCCCTTAAGGGCAAAGGCTATTTTTATTTTTGTCTTTGTCTTCCTAGCTCACATTACAAAGACTTGCACGTAAAAACAGGTATTTGTCTCAGTGGATGGAGTACCCACACACATGAAACTATGAATTTTTTTGAAGTGTTAAAGGATTTGGACTTTGGAGAACATAAAAGTTATGACTCTTATAAGCAACAAAACAATGTGATTCATTTTTCTGTTTTATAAAATGATGAGATTAATTTTTTTAACAACCATGTCAAAATTCTATACTTAAGACTATGATGTCCCCTTAAACTCTTAGTAGGCTATACACTCATTCCAAGAATGCAGTTATTTTTCAAGATATTGAAATTCTTTGGAGTTATGTTTATTTCCATCAATGGTCACAGCTTTGGGTTTTGCTTTTGCCTCTGCTTTTGCCAGAACTAAAAGAAAGCTATGACTATTGTATAAGTATATATATGGGGAACTAAGGCTAGCTATTGGTACATTCAGGATGAGACATTACTTGAAAGAAATAATACACTACATATTCAATAAAAATATCCTATAACCTTTAGAGAGAGAAAATTTTAAATATTTTAAAGTGTTTCCCAATATAAAATAAATTTGTACAAGTAAATATGGTATTTATTATTTGGCAGGGGCATTTGTCTCTGGGCATGCAGGATCTACTTATTTCACTTAGAAAATATCCCCCTAGTCAATTATTAAAGTCCTCAGTGTATGATATTCAAAAAGTCGCAGAATCTCTTAGCTGAAAAGGGCTTAAAGTTAGTATAGTTCCTTCAATGTGTGTATGGGAAAATTAGGGTCATAGATTTGAAAAGACTTACCTGAGATTGTATCACGAATAAGAGGTAGAGTTGGGTTTGGAATCTGGGTCTCTGAATTTCCAATTGATTGCTTATATCGTGATACCCCACAAGCTTTCTGTTAGGTTGAATTTTAGGAATTCCTGAAACCAAGATAATATCACAATCAGTGGCCTCTCAAATGTTGGTTAGAGTGGGGATATTTTAAAGCCACAGTTGTCAATATCTGAGCTCACTAAGCCATGATTCCTTTAAAACAACATTTAGACATGGCTGCCATCTCAGCATCTCCAACTTCAGGGCTGCTAAAATCCCAGATCAAGCGAATATTTATGTCTTTAAGGTATGTCATTTGAATGTGTGAGAAAAAAAAATTGATAAAGCACTTACTATATGCCACGCGCTATTCTTTAAGTTATACCACTTTGGTGCTCCCATAACCCGTGATATCACAGGCTACCCTCTAATTTTCCAGAACATTGAGCTGGTCCTACATCACAGCATGTCTTGCCCATGAATGGCTTGATTTTGTTATTTGACAGTCTATCTTATCAGTGACCTACTTTCAAAGGCATAAGTGTCTGTGCTGCATTGACTGCCCAAGGGGAAGGTGAATGACTCAATAAAAGTCCTTCAGATATACAGCAAGCTGTTACATTTGGAAAGCAGCACTTCTGGTCACTGGTATTTTAACCCAGTGACAACACTGCCCTCATATTTGCCCGGCCACTACACAGAATTCCCAGAATCTTCGCTTCCAGAGAACACAAACACAGGATATCTGACCTATCAATCACTGGTCACATAAAGTAGGCCTTTATTAAGTGCCTACTATTTTCTAGATGTTATGAAAAGTTCTGGGTATATAAAGACAAAACCAAAACAATCTCTGACCTTAATAAGAAGTTTACAGATTAATGGGGAAATAATATGTAATTATATACTAAGTACATACAAAACAGATACAAGGTAATCTTCAGTGGAGAAGACGTTTGCAGCTAGGGTAGGGTGAACCACAAAAGTCCTCTTGAAAAAGACTGTGCTTGAGCTAACTCTTAAAGGAAACCAGAGATTCCAAAGGACAGAGAAGCAAGAAGGGAGTCCATTCCAAGTATGGGGGACAGCCTTTGCAAAGACATGGAAACAAAGATAAAAGTGCTGGGTGTGAGGAATAGCAGGAAGACCAGTGTGACTTGACTGTAGGGTGTAAGGAGGACAGTAACATGTGATATGCCTGGAAAGGGAGGATGGAGGCTATATTGTGAAAAGATTTAAATACCAAACCAGGAAGTTTATATTTGATCCTAGAGATAATAGGTTTCCACTAGAATTTATTAGGTACAGGGGTGACATGGTCAGATTTGTGCTTTAGGAAAATTGTTTGGCAGCTGAGTGGAAGATTGATTGGACAGGGGAACAATTTGAAGCATGAAGACCAGTTAGGATACTATAGTTCAAGTTATAAATGAAGGCGTCCTGAACTAGGGTGGTGGCTATGTGAGTGGAGAGAGAGTTTGGATGTAAGATTTATTTTGGACTATATATAATGAATTATAGTAAAATCTGAGAAGGAAAAAGCTAAGGACGAAAAGGTGAACAAACAATGTTTCATGTTTTTTAACATGTCATTGGAGAGAAATAAATTGATTAGCATAAAACCAGAAAATCACATTTTACCTTCGTATTCATAAATAGCATGGCATAGTGAAAAGACCAGTGAACTCAAAAGCAAATTTGGGTTGGAATCCCAGCTTTCTGATTGTGAACTAGTTACTTTATTTCTTTCACCCACAAAAAGGGGAAAATTATAACACCCATCTTACCCACTTCACAGCGTCATTGTGAGAAAAGTATTCCATATGTGAGAAAATTCCACTAAAATTTGATTTGTTATTATATAGCTCTAAATACCTTCTCATCCAAAATTGTTTTTGACAGGTAGATAGTATCTCATTTCTCTCCCCCTCCACAACAGACAGCCCTTTGAGGTATGTAACACAGGAACTATAATCACCATTTGATAATGAGGAAACAGGAAAGCTTAAAGGATTTGTCGAGGGTCAGACAGTCTAGGTAGGGGAAAAGCTAGGGCTAGCTCTTCTGCTTTTTAGTCTAAAAATATTTCCACTATAACAAGTTATCTCCTTGCTTTCTTACCATCTTCTGCACTCATAAGCTATCATATCATATAAGTCTATTCTATCTCAAAGATAGGAATCAGATCTATGATTTCATTTCTATAAGGAACTTTCAAATAAGGAAACTTTCTCTACCAATATAGGTTGGTACAGAGCTTCATAGAGCACTGGAAAACTGACCCTTGCCTAGGGTCACACAGTACGCATCTGAAACATGGCTTGAACCTGGGTCTTCTGGTTCCAAGGCCAGTTCTCTATCCACTGCAGCATACTATCTCTCCTGTTCTATATTATTTGATATAAAACAGAGAGTGTGCAAAAATCCTTCTTATTCAACAACTTTCTAAAGCAACAGAACCTCACCACAAGGGAAAAAACTAGACTGAGGACAGCTTACCATTTCTTGGATGGAAGAAGCAATTGGTTTTTGTTTATAGATTTTTAATTTTACAAATCCAAATTATCTATTTACCGTTTTGTGAACACTTCTGTGCTTTGCTTGGTTAAGAATTCTCTCTTTATCCAAAGTTATAAAAGGTATTTCTTTCCATTCTCTTCTAATTTTTTGAATGATGTGACCTTTTACATTTGGGTTACATATTCATTTGGGGGCTTATTGTGGGGAATGATGTAATATGCAAGTCCACACCTAATTTCAGTCAAACTGTTTTCCAGTTTCCCCAGTCATTCCTGACAAATTGGGTTAAATTAAACACTGGGCAACTATTTTCAGTTGCTTTTGGTTCTTGCTTTTCTGATCGGTTCTGCTGGTCTACTTTTAAAATGGTACCAGGTAGACTGATTATTATTATTTTTAATTAGATCTGAGATTTCATTAGCATAAAGTGCTGGTCTTACAGCCAGGCCCTAGGCAAGTCGCTTAACCTTTGAGTGCCATGGACAACTTTCCCCATAATATTCAGAAAGTGAGGAGGTCCATTAGATTGGGATTGGATCTGAGTTTTCCTTGGTATGGGAACCTCCAGATGGAGACACTCCTTCTATCCCTACACGTAGATACTAGCTCTGCAGCATATTTAGACAGCTAGCTGCCTGGGGAATTGAGAGCTTATGATTTATCCAGGGTCACATCTATAGCATGTGTCAGACGTGGGCCTTATTGTTCAGTCATGTCCTACTCTTTGTGACCCCATTGGGGGTTTCTTTGCAAAGATCCTACAGTGGTTTGCCATTTCCTTCTCCAGCTCATTTTACAGATGACGAAACTGAGGCAAATAGGGTTAAGTCACTTTCCCAGAGTCATATAGCTAGTAAGTGTCTGAGGCCATATTTGAACTCAAGGAGAGAAATCTTCTTGACTCCAGGACCATCACTCTATCTGCTGTGCCATCTAGCTGCCTGTGTAACCTGATTCCAAAGTCAGCTCTGTATTCACTAGTCTATGTTGCCTCTTTAGGATATAATGGCTTTAAAACATAGTTTAAAGTCTGGTAATGCTATGCCCCCCCTTGTTACTTTCTCCCCTCGACTCCACCCAATTATTTCCCTTGGAATTCTAGGCCTTTTGTTACTCCAAGCAATTTGTTTTTCAAAAGGAAAACATAAAAATGAATTTCCCATGCAGCATAGTTTGTTGTTTGCTGATTATTGGGTAAAAGGCAGTTAGTACTATGTTCTCAGACAGAATACTCACTGAATACAAAATATAAATATATTGGGAAATCTGCTATTAAAAACACAAATCTAATAATAACACTGCGCATTTATATGGAGTCTAAACACAATGATAGACACAACAGGATGTACAAACCCCTCCTCTCTATCCAGACATACCATTTCATGCATGACATATTTTAGCAAGGAATAACCAGTCATTCAAGAATCCACAGCACTTCCAAAAGTCAAAAGTCTTGCTGGTGGTCATGGTCAGTTAGGTACATACAGTGGGAAACATTTTCTCTGGAACTTATTCTGGTGTAGGTGAAAGTAGGAACTTCTTTCAAGTTGGAATTTTTTGGGGTTTTTTTTTCAACCACTGGATGGGAGAGGCATTGCTTGTAGGGCCAGGTTTGGATGACCTCCCCAGACAGACAGGGCAGAAAAATTCCTATCATGTCAAACCACCAGTTAGAATTCTTACAAGTGGCAGGATGGTGAAGCTCTGGGTTCAAAGGACCCGAGTTTAAATGCTATCTTTGATACAAACTACCAATGTGATTTGGTACGAGTTACAATCTCTCTATCCCTCAGTTTCCTCATTTATAAAATGAGAGTCTTAGACCAGATGGCTTTCCCACTCCAAAAACAATGATGAACTCTTTATTTGTAAAAGTGCAAAAAAAAAATGCAGGTGTCCTCATTGTCCATCCAGAAAATGACCCATTATCATTTGGGTATAAGATCATTGGATTTACAATGGCAAACAATCTTGGAGGCCATGCATCTCAATTCTTCAGTTTTCAAGTTGGGAAACAGGCTAAAGGAATATAGAACCAAAGAATCTGAGAGATGAAAGACACGTCAATAGCCATCTAGTCTAACCCATACATGAAAGGAATCCCTACTATCACATTCCAAACAGGTGGTTGTCCAGTATCTGCTTGAATAACTTCAAGAAGACAATGAAGGGACTTGAAGACTAAATGATTTAACCACAGACACACAGTTCTCAAACCTAGGCCTCTGAGTCCTCTTCCCCCCCCCCAAAAAAAAACCCCCCAAAACAACCCAGTTCTATTTTTTACCATTATAAATCATAACACTGGCCTCAACTGAGCCCTATTCTCATGTTGAGCATAAATCTGATGTCCCCACATAGCATAAAGAAATGAAACATTCAGGGCATGAATGGACAAAGGGTTTTAAACATCATTTCAAATTTAAAGGAATTTTGGCTTTTATGAGGGTCATTAGAGCAAACACACAATTCCCCCTCTCTCATCTGACTTGCTGATTTCCATTTGTTCCCTGAATAAGAGTTTCTTTCCCTGACAAGAAATGGTGATATCCCTTCTCTGGCACAATTGACAACATAAATAAAAATA